ATGTGTATAACATTGGCGTACAACAAGGATCCATTCTAGAGCCACAGTAATGTCAACATACTTCCATGTTGATATCGAAAGTTCAGGCGGTGATTGAGGTGGCCCTATGAAGGAAAGTTCATATAATTACCGATCAGGTAACGCTGCGCTTTCGAGAAGACGTTCTTTTTTCGTAAAAAAAAAGACTACAATATAAATGGGTTGACTTGCTAGCCTTAACGTCACTGTGACCCAAATGAATCTATTGTGACTCCCATATACACTTTCTAAAGCACTGTGTCCAGCCTTGATCCTTTAATCAGACTTCATAGCATTGACACAGGATCTTGCATGTAGCTTTCCGCTGTTGGATTGGTGATTCCGACTATCTGAAACCGTAGCCTTGCAAGGCCGTCACAGTGAGACAGGAGATACACTGATTTCCTCTACAGGTACGGCATATGGCCTCTTCTGCCAGACTCAAGAGACATATACTGATTTAGTGGACAGTGTCCTGTCAGGAGATCCACTATGGCCCTTATGGCCTACCTATTAAATCCGAGTAGGTCTTCTATTAATTAATCCGGACCTTCGCTCTTTGATGAACCATTTTGCCAGCCTTTGTCCTGATAATTGGCTGTTGCACCATTCTTGAGACTTTTTCTTGACTGTTTAATGCATGTTTTCGTTACGCCACAGAAATACTCTGGACCAGAGTTCCCCAAACTTATTTGTGTCGTAGACCCCTTGCCATGTTTTTCCGTGTTGGGTAGACCCCCTACTTACCTGATATTGATTTCCTGTAAATTTCTAACTTAAAGTAAAAACACATGTTAATTTATACACTTATTAATTGAATTTAAATTAAAACTACTCAAAATAAAATTTTGTATCTGTTATGTAAAATATACGTATCTACCATTAAATAAACAGGTGTCTGACCAATAAGTGCCCGCATTGGGAATAAGTGCCCGCATTGAAAAAAAGAATAAGAGGGATGAAATAAAAAAAAAAGTGAAAAATAATAAAAAAATAAGCTTTTACTTAAAATAGTACAATAAGCGAGTTCGTTTATTAATTATAACATAAACGTATGTTCTACAATAATTTCACTGTTAGTTTGATTAAATTCCGCTACTTATACGTTTAAGTTATCTAAAAATAGGCAAAAAATTAACGAAGTTTAGTGTGTACCTATCCTTGAATTTTCAGAGTAATTTAAAAAAAATATTTTCTATAAAGGGGGGTACTTATTGCCAATGCGGGCATTTATTGGTCAGACACCAATAAACATCTCACTCACTCCACTCTCGGAAGGTCCGGGTGGAGGGTGGGCTCGAGGGAACAACATCGAAGATAAAATTTGTTTTTCGAACATCTGCGGGATCAAGAGCAACATTGATGCTGTTCATCACTACCTGCAATCCAATCGTCCCGCCGTGCTTTTCTTGGCGGAGACAAAAATCTCAGAGACTGCACCGATTAACCATCTCAACTTCCCAAACTACGAGGTGCACTCCAATCTGAGAAAGAACGGGGGAGTTGTGGCTTTTGTCCGCAGCAGTCTTTCCTGCTCCAGCGATCTTTCTTTGGAATCACACCGGAAGGACATTCTGTGGCTTCGCCTCAACTCCAAAACATCACCCAAATTTATTTGCTGCCTTTATCGCTCTCCCTCGAACCATAACTGGGATGACCTACTCGAATACCTCGCCGTCCAGATCGACTTCCTGAACATCAATCACCCCGCTTCAGAGGTAGTTCTTCTCGGTGATTTCAATGCCCATAATGAGCTTTGGTTGGGCTCAAATAAGACCGATGCAGCAGGTCGTGCAGTCGAAGCGTTCGCTCTTACTCAAGGGCTGACCCAGCTGGTGACGAGCCCTACTTGTTTCCCCCGCGTCTCGTCACACGCCAGTAGCCTGCTGGATCTCTTTCTGACCACGCATCCTGCCCCTTACAGCACTGCTGTCCTGTCCTCCCTGGGTAACTCAGATCACGGTGTTGTGGAGGTTAGGTTTCGGTCAGAAGCCGCTGTGGCAGCAGAAACTCGCACAGGCCGCAAAACTTGCCATTACGGACATGCCGACTGGGAGGGGCTCATAGACTTCTTCTCTAGCTTTCCTTGGAGAGATGTCTGTTTCACTGATGCGGATGCGTCGACTGTCTGTTCTTCAATAACCGAAATTATCCACGTCGGAATGGAGGAATACATCCCTCACACAGTGAAAGTTCCTAAACTAGGGTCCAACGGCTGGTTCAACAAATCGTGTCACACTGCTCGCCAGCAGAAGAGAAAGGCCCACAGAACCTACTTACAAAACCCCACTGTAGAGAACAGACAAGCCGACGTCGAGTCCAGAAACAAATATAACGAAGCGGTTCGCAATGCCAAAAACCAGCATGATATAAAAGTTAGGCTCAGGGTAATGTCGCAGCGCAATGGCAGTCGGTCTTTCTGGACGCTGGCCAAGCAGATTGAAAAGAACTTCTCACACAGTAGCCTTCCACCACTTACGTGTCAGGATGGAACTATTGTATTCGACTCAAAGGCCAAGGCGGAAGTGCTAGCCAAGATCTTTGCTGCCAACTCCACCATGGACGTCCCCACCAACGCCCAAGTGCCGTCAATTCAAAGGGTTCCCCACACTATGCGGGAGGTAACATTCAGGCATAAGACCGTAAGACGAGTGCTCTTGTCGCTCGACATCAACAAAGCTTCTGGTCCGGACTTGATTCCTGCCATTGTACTGAAGAGATGTGCAACGGAGCTTGCTCCAGTTCTTTCGCGCCTCTTCCAGATATCTTATGAATCCGGCACCTTCCCAGAAAACTGGAAATTTGCTCATGTACAGCCCATCCCAAAAAAAGGATCTAAAACCGACCCTTACAACTACGGGCCTATAGCTCTGCTTTCTGTTATAAGTAAAGTGATGGAGAGGTGCATAAATCGCGAGCTTCTGGACTACCTCGAACGTCACAACTTGATTAGCAACAGGCAGTACGGTTTCCGGCACCAACGATCCACAGGGGAACTCCTAGCTTACGTCACGCAACTGTGGAGTAAACTCATCCAGTCTCATGGTGAGGCTCATATCGTTGCTCTTGACATCACGAAAGCATTCGATCAGCTGTGGCACGCTGCCCTCTTAAGCAAACTTCCATCCTACGGCCTCCCAGAAAAGCTTTGCAGATGGGTGGCTGACTTTATCTCTGGCCGCAAGATATCCGTCGTAATTGACGGATTCTCCTCTTCATCCCACAACGTCAACGCGGGTGTTCCCCAGGGATCGGTCTTGGCTCCAACACTGTTTCTCTTACATATCAACGACCTCCTTTCCTGCACGATCAACCCAATCCACAGCTTCGCTGATGACAGCACTCTACATGCAGGAATTCAGAGTGACAAGCCGATCTCTGCCGCTGAGTTGGAAAAAAGAAGACTAGCGACGACTTCTTCTCTGACCAGAGACCTGGAGGCTATCACTGCTTGGGGACGCAACAATCTTGTACAGTTCAATGCTTCCAAAACACAGTACTGTACTTTGACGAACAAAAAGCGTCCTAGCGCTCATACAGTTTCGATGGACGGTCGAGTTCTACCAAAGAGCCATTCATTTCGGCTGGTCGGAGTCAAGATCACCGAGGACCTGATCTGGCACGAACACATCTCTTCAATAGCTGCAGCTGCTGGGAAAAAGCTAGGCTATTTGTTTAGGGCTAAGAAGTACTTTTCTCCGCATGACCTTCTCACTCTATACAAGGCCCAGATAAGGCCTAGCCTCGAGTATTGCTCACACATTTGGGGCGCTGCCGCCCCGACTACATTGTCCATGCTCGATGCTGTCCAGAGGAGGGCGGTCCGACTGATCAATGACTCTTCTCTAACAGACAGTCTCGGGACTCTTTCGCACCGGCGGGTCGTCGGCGATCTAGCTCTTTTCTATCGCTACACCAACGGGCTTTGCTCCTCAGAGCTCTCTTCCATGATGCCGCCGCGCGATGTGCCTACCAGACAGACCCGCCTGACTTCGGCGTCCCATCCTAACCGTGTCAAGCTTCGTACATCCAGAACTGGCCGATACGACCGCTCCTTTGTCCCGAGGGTGTCTAGATTGTGGAACAATCTACGGGAGGAAGCTTTTGCCAGTTCTACTAACCTTAGGCAGTTCAAAAATCGTATTAACAAAATTTCTTTGGGATCATCATAGCAGCCGCGGTGTTCCGACATTTAGGCTTCTGCCTGCGCGGCTGTTTCGATATAAAAAAAAACATAAAATAAACTATAAATAAAATAACATAAGCAATAAGTCAATATTTTTAGTGGACAGGACGATTTATTTAATAATAAATTATCAACATTTGGCGTCAATTTTGTAAGAATTAATCTTAAATCTCCTCGGCTAATGATGTCCAGTCTGTTTCTCTTTTTCGTTAGGAGATTGGTAACAGCGCTGAACCCCCTTTCCACTAGGTATGACAATGGAAAGGAAATTAAAAATTTCCGCGCTATATTCCATAATACGGAATAAGTAACGGGTATGTTGTTTTGCAGCCAGAATTGCTGATATCCGTTTTTAAACTGAACCTTAAGTTCTTCGTTTGTACTTAGTTCAGTCAGTTCCTATTGAATTATGACATTCGTTTCTTCTATGTCACCATAAGGATTAATTATCCACGGTGGTATTACCATAGTCAAAATATCCTCAAACCTAGATTCAAAATCTGAATAGAGGGCACTTAAATGTTGACCGTAAGTTGAAACGTCGTCGTCGTGGCAGCTTGTCTGTAACAAATTGGGGAACTGAGAAAATTCGCCCCGTCCAATATTTTGCTTCATTAGTTTAACTCTGGCAAGAAACGCTGATCAGATGAACTTTGTTTTAATCAATTTAAACTGTCGCCTTGTAACTGCAAATTAACCATATTAAATTTTGTAAACAAATCTGGTAAATAGGCGATGTCTGTTTTGCTCTTCATTAAATTTTCTTTTAAAATTTTATCTTTAGTATCCAGAAATTCTAAAATAGTCTCAAAAAATGCAAAAAATCTTTCGACAGCCAGCGTACTTCAGGGTGAAGGAGTAATTGATGAAAGTGTTCGTCATTTTCTTCACACAACTGCGCAAATAACCGCGCATCCAACGCATTGCTTCGGATTCGGTTTATTGCATCAGTGAAAAAATGACGTGATTCATGCAATCTCACACTAAAATTTTTATCAACTAAATGTTGTCGGTGGATGACGCAATGTATTGCTAACACCCCTGACACATTTTGTTTTAAATAGCTTATAAATCCACGATAACGTCCAACCATGGCAGGTGCTCCATCTGTACCTACTGATATTATATTTGATAAAGGAATTGCTTTTTCAATGAAGTAATCCTTCAAAACATGAAATATTGATTCACCTTTAGTGTCGGTTATCAAAGTTCTTGCGAAGAGCAGTTCTTCGTAGATTTCTTGATTCATAATAAAACGAACATATGCCAATAATAATGCTGCATTATCAGGTAAAGTTGACTCGTCCAGTTGTATAGAGAAATGGGTCGTTTGCAAATAATTACAAAAGAAGCTTTCAATATCAGAACTCATTTCATCAATACGTCTTTCAACAGTATTGTTGCTTAAGGGAATTCTTTTAATGATATCAGATGCAGGTTTCTGTAAAACAGTTTTTAAAACCTCTTCAACGGCTGGCAAAATTAACTTCTCTCCGATAGTATGCGGTTTTCCGGATTTTGCTATAAGTAACGAGATATTGTAAGACGCCCGCAAACCATCATCATTTCTTTGTGACGTCGAAGCGAACATTCTGTCCAGTGTAGGTCTCTTCTGAAATTCATCTTTGAGTGTTTGAAAGTATTTCAAATCTTTCTCTGTTTTATCAGGGTGGCATCTTCTCAGATGATCTTGCAGTTTAGATGGTTTCATAGCGTCATTGCCCAAAACTTTGTTGCATAAAAGGCACATAGGCGATTGTTTGTCCGGCAATGATGGAATGAATATTTTCTTAGCACTTTCCTGTTCAAGATTCAGGAAACGAATAAACGTATTTGTCCCACCTTCGTATTTATAGAGTGACGAATTGAACAAGTCAGTGCAAGGTAGCGAAGCTCTGAGACTGCGACTCTCACGTTTTTACAAGTTCAAAATGCATTGCGACCACAAAGCGAATACCAACATCCTACAACTTACACAATTTTATAAACATATATAATAATTTTTTTACTTTTATAAATAATGTATATGTTCTGATATTATAAGATAGTATGATGTAAGTAAATAGGTACTATCAGTGTATGTGTTGAGATCCACTATCGTGGACCCCCATATTCATTTCCTCTACCCTCAAATTTTTTTTCGCTGACGTAGACCCTTTGCAGGTTGTCATAGACCCCTAGGGGTCGATATCGACCACTTTGCGAATCAATGCTCTGGACCTATAAGGAGATTGGCCTCTGTCTGGCTACTCATCCGTCTTTTCTTTTGCTTTCTGCATTTCATGTCCTGGTACCCAGAAAAATGTTACCTTGTTTCGCTTTACCAGCTCTTTGATCCCTTACTGCATAGTTTAGACGATGTTTGCCTTAATGGATGTCTGAGCTGATGGCGATTGACAGATTTGCAGTCCCATTCCTTATTAGCTCTTTTGCGTAGACTTGTATGGCCGTTATTTCAGCATGAAATATTGTTGGGATATTACCTAGACATATAGAAATCTCAGTTTCTGGCCTTGTCCCATAAATCCCGGCTCCAACTCCGTCTTTAGTTTTCGAGCCAATCCACGCCATCCTTCCTGGTACTATTAATAGTTCACTTCGGAAAATTCAAAGAGCTCTTTTAAGATTTGCTAGTGCTTAATAGTTACTAAAATCATCCAAGAACTCCGTATTTAAACATGTTACATCATTTCCTTTGGAAAGTTTTAGTCCTAACAACAGGTCTATCTTATTCGAATCATACTAACTTTCCAGCATCACTAGAATTTAAAAAATTAGTAAGACCCACTGAACGATTATTGATATTTCTCGAAAAGACTGTTTCCTGAAAACAAAAAATCGACTGACTTCTATAAAGTTCTGTAACTTGTATGAAATTCAGATTTTTTTGTTGAAGCGTAGTCTATATTTCTAATTAAACCTACAGCAGCAATATCTGGTTACATTTGACACTCGACTAAAACGACTATTGAATTTTTTGTCATCACCACCCATGAACACCGCACATGTTGCACCAATCAGGCTGATTTACTTTCGGCTGTTTTGTACAATGACACGTTTCCCTAAATATATCCGGACGAACGCGTCTGCTTGCCGTTTTTCATTTGTTTTTTGTGCTTGCGCGTCATTTTTGTCATCCCGAGCTCGCTCTGTTGCAATTAATATTCCGGAGATATTAAACGACAGTCCACAAATTTGTCAGGAGAGGCGAGTGAATTTATTATGGTTGTGGAAAAGAAACAAACGAGAAAAATCTGTTCCGCGCCACGTTTATATTTATAGTAAAGATCCATTAATTACTGAGGGGAAGATGTATACAGGGTTGTAACGAGCACTGCGCGAAGTTTCAGCAAACTTGACACCAGAGGCAAAAGTATTAGCGTCCTTCATGCGGAAATGCTGGAATATATCAGTTCTCGAAGAACAGAAACATGAAGGAACCCACAGTTTCTAAGAAGAAAATCAAAATTTAAACCTTAGGCCTTAATGGTGGTTCAGATATAAAAAATGACGTAATCTTGAACAAATGTCTTGATGAGACTACTCCACAATTACGTCATCCAAGGTAGGAGTCTAGTAAATGCGGGTGCACTTTGGCTGACTATTTCAGCAAAAAAGAATAGACAAATTACATTAATATTTCAGCTTCTATAGCCAACATATCCGATTTCTTAAATTTTTGAAAATAAATGTTCAAAGTTATTAAAGGGAATCCATAAATCCAAATCTCAGTCGAAATTTCTAGATTTTGTTGATGATACACTTTTCAACTTCATGAAATTATGCCAAAATAAAAACCTATTACGGCTCTGCCTTATAACGTCCCTACAAATAGACCTAATTACTTGCTTCTCGTCTTGTGAGGTGGCATATTGTTAGCTCTGAAATATCGTGAAGTGTAACCAACATGACAAATGATCGACAATTCATTATAGTTAAAAATGAATTAGCTGTGAAATCTGATCTTGAACACTATCACTTTAGTAGTGCACATCTATACTAAGAGACATATTCTATGAACACCCAGTAATAATGAATTTATTACCACAACTTTTTGTATACGTCTCTTAGGGTTAGATAAATGATTGATCAAAATATCAGAAAAATATAGTCATTGAAAAAATTTAAAAAGTTCATAATTTGTTGAGCCTCCATGATATTATATACACTCACTCACCTTGTGGGTGAGAAGCCTGAGGGGGTGTTCTTAGGATATACCTCTAACTATTAGGGCCTTCGCACACACAGCGTAAGCGTAGTCGTTTCGTAAGCGTATCGTTACGACGCAACGCCTACGAGACCTGCAATGTTCCACACAGGCATCGTCAGGTACTCGTATCGTTTTGTAAGATCTCAGTTGAAATCATGGCGTTAACGGTACCAGATGTTTCTGGTGTATCCATTGATGATCTAACATTTTCTTCAGATGACGAGGATTTTTTATTGTTTGATTATGTTAGAAGTAGAAAGCGACGTCCATGTTGGATCCATCCATACATCCCAAGTAATAATAAGAACAGATTGTTTGTTGCTGCTCGTGGACTCTCAGAAGATGATAATAAATTTCGTAGCCCTTATCGAATGAGGAAGGAGACATTTCAGCCATATCGAGAGCAATTAAATAAAACTTTGAATTTCATGCTTGCTTCTGCAACACCGCTTCGTGTGCGGACTTGTTAGCACACATACGAGCTTGTTTTGCTCTCGTCCTACGCACGTATTACGATAGAATTACGATGCGACGTAGTGTGCGAAGGCTCTTAGTGTACGGCCTGATTCTATGCTCGACAAGAAACCACCACCGTAGGCACCCGTGTGACTATTTTCCTAAAGGACCAACCAGACCCCTATCAAACTCGCTAAGCTGTTGAAAATGTTTTCGTCTTTTCACTTTAGGCATAATGAACAGTTCAAAGCATCTCTTCATAACGTTGTTTACGATGATCAAATGTCAATTGTCGCTATAAAACACAAGTATCACTTACTTACCTTTTTTGTAATAATATATCGCAAAAACCACCTAAGCGATACGGTTGAAAAGTTGAGCGTTCTGTAACCTAACCTAAATAAACATAAACCTACAAAGTCTTTGTAATAAATTCATAAATACTGCCGATCCACACTCACGCGAGTATCTCGCCGATAATCCCGGTAAGAATCTCAGCGAAAGTCTTGGCGAGAACTTCTTTGGGTCCACACTCGCAAGGTTCTCAATACAGTTCTCGTGCTCGATGACGATCGACGCGGAATTGAATGTCGCGACAAGTTTATTACTCTGCGTAGTGGCGTATTATACAGGATGGCGCATCGAAAACGAAACAGACGCATTTACTGGCAGCTCAGTTTTTTTTTGAAAAACGATCACCACTAATGATGATGTATTAGTTTTATTTAAGCTTTAAATCAATAAATCTTCAAAACTACTGAACTGAAGCTCATTTATTTTATATCATTATAAAGGGAATTGAATGACCTTTAAAATAATGTATCACTCGACCCCCCTTTCCATTTAAGATTTTAGGGTTGATGTCACCCCCGCCCAGGGGGCTGCACGTGTTAACGTGATGTTTTGCCAAAATTGTGTCCCCCTCGAAAACAAAATCGACGGGTCTGAGCGTTTTTCCAAAAAAAAACTGAGTTGCCAGTAAATGCGTCCGTTTCGTTTTCGGTGCGCCACCCTGTATATACGCCTATTTTAAAGACCCTTATGCGAACCATATTGGCTGATAATGTCGCCGTCACCAACACCGGATTTTTCCGATTTCTTGACTTGACCCTCTGTAGCTGGCTGTTAACGTTTTTTTTTGCTTCTTAATTCTTCAATGGGTAATTCCATCAAGGTACTAATACGTTCTCAAGCATCGTGGGCTTTTAGTTTATTCTTATATTCATTTAAATTTGCACTCCACAAAATCGGTTCTGCTTGAAAATATTCTAAGAATGCCACTGAGAAACATGCGAGTGTTTAGTCAATACAAGTTCTCGCCTGTTCCAGCGTTCTCTGCTCTTTTGTCTTGCGCCAAAAAACTGACAAAAAACTGAGAACCAGCCGAGAACCTGTGAAGATTATGAAAATCGGTTCTACATTCACATTTCTCGTGTTTTTCTCGCTTTCACTCTGTTAGTTTAGCGAGTCAAGACAGATTACGTCATTGCTTCATATGTGTCATTTACAAAGCTTCTATTCTCCGTTGTCTGTCGATGCAGGACCTTTGTTTTTGTGTCAAAGGATGTCGGTCAGTTTGTTAATCTGTCAAACTGGTCACCCAGAGACCAGAGATTATTAAAGGGAAAGAAGCAAAGCATAAGAATGAAAAAAGAGGGAGAGGAAAGGGTAGGAATAAAAACGAGCTGAAACGGCGTCCAGGCATCATTGAGAATTGCTATAATAATTTTGAAAAAAAAAGAATTAGTTTGGAGTTAGTTGAATTATCGTTTACGCCATTCAATTTTGTTCTTCAGTGTGAGACGTCACCTAGAAAATTTCCCGTCAAACCATAATGTGATTCCTGATTTGGCTTTCGGTCTAAGCATAGTACCCTCTATAAATTGATCCAAAAGGGCTTTCCCTTACGACTCCTAAAACTTTTTAATTTTCAGAATAAAATTGATAACGTACAGTCGACAACATGGCATATCTGAGCCGGTGTCCATCAGGGTTCAATTTTTAGACCAGTCCTTCATTAACTTTTCATTCTTGACATCAATTGC